GTTTATATTTATATTTTATATATATATTTTTTTTTGTATATATATATATATATATATATATATATATATATATATATATATATATATATATATATACACTGATATGATAATATCTGTATTAGTCCCGATACTGGAAAAAAAAATAAAAAATTGTAGATTGGGTACCAGTGACAATGTGCCCAATCAATAAGGGCAGATCTACTCAGTCTAATTCTATGTTTTCTGCCATGAGCAACATCATGCTTTATTATATATTTTACATTATATTTAGAATTCCTAATTGCACTTTCTGGAAAAAAATAACAGAAAATGAACCTAAACTAGGTAGAAGTCCACTAGAACTTTGATCCTGAATAGAAGACTGTAAAAACTGAGGCAAGGCATGAAAGCTGTTGAATCTTGGTGGACAGGCAGCCTTTACATCCAGGCATAGGAACAGCATGCCAGCATGTAAAAAGGCTATATGTTCACCTTCCATCATATCCAAGGGAGCAAGCAAAGGTCACAGGGTCAATTTCAGGTCAGTGACCTCATTCAGGGTGTGTCATACCTCCTTTCAGGAAGTTTTGTTAAACAGGACAGGTCAACAATTTATGGATTACAACGTTCTCATCCCTGCCAAATCCTGGTTGACATGGATTTGGACATGTGGGCTCTGTGAATCACCTTACATTGAAAAAGGCACAAATTAACATGGGATTTTCTACAATGAGTCCCCAATATGATCTGAAATAGTCTTACTCATGCTGTGCTGTGCTGTGTGCTTTATGCAGGCTAGTTTGTTATATAAAAATGTATTTAAAGTGGGGAATGGCTGCTGTATCTACATGTCCTGGACCGAATCTGGTTCCAACACCAGACAAGTAGAGTGACTTTTAGGCTACCTGTGATCTGCAATTTGAATATTACAATTAAACACTATTATTATTATTAGATAAAAATGTCATCTGCACAGTAGCGATAGATGAAATTAGGATGTATAAGCCGAACCTTCTGGTTAGATTTCTGTAACTAAATGTCAGAAACTTCCATTTGCCTTTCCAAATGAAAAGTTGTTTTCTCATCATTTCCAGTCATTAGTGGAATATTGACAAAATTTTGAGCACATTTGTAATGGAAACGCAGCTACTGGTCCTATTAGAAATATTTAAACTTAGAACAACAATACTCTATATTTTGAAATAATATTCTGCTCCTGCATACCCAGACCTGCCCGGGCAATCTCACATATTAAAGGTCACATTATTACAGCGTTTCCAGTCGGGAATTACCTCCGCAAAATTGTTTTTTTTTTTTACATCCAGAGTTTTTGAAATAATCTAAATTAACCCTATCCATAACCAAACAGGGAGCTTCATCCTCCAGCCGACTTGACCCTGTTCCTCCGGTTTACCCCCTGCCCCTCCTCCTCCTCCTCGGGGAGGGATCTGCTGTACTTCAGTAGGTCAGCACAGTTCCTCTGAAGCCCTGAGCTAACAAAAGACACATGTGTAAAGATGACTTTATAATGTGGAAGAGACTGTGCTGTGCTGACACACTGTAATGTCACTCTGTTCATTAGGGACATGAAGGCCAACAAAGGCTACTCCAGCAGATGTTGACTGCTTGCCCAGAGTATTCAGGAGCAGACAGTGGAGACTGGAGCTAGCAGAAAGCTTCGCTGACCCCTAACCATCGTCTTTTCTT